AAATTTTTTGTTGTTCAAAACTTATAAAATTTATGATATATTTGTATTTTGATAATATTTACAGCTTGACTTCTAAAAGGTTGTCGTCATAATTATCTTACACATTGAAATGAAAATAGTGAATTTTCACGTTGTGTTCATTTGTTTGAGACAAAATGTCTCACTTGAAGTATATAAAATTTTATGAAAATGTAATTAAAATTATATATTATAAAGTGCGGGCATATTGGTCATTACAAGTAAGCTTAATGTGTAGTTTTTGTTTTAGTTAGTGCACATTGTTTAATCATGTTGTTGCATACTGTGGATTTTACTATTTTGTTTTATATATAAGTTTTACATATATAGTGTAATTGAGATTGAGTATGATACAACTGCTCAAATATGATAGGACATTATAAAATGTATAAATATGCAAGAAAGACAGGGTACTTAGATTCAGGTTGGTGGAGGTATGATACTCTGCAGGGGAGGATGGGTTGATGAGCTTTTTTTAATGGAATAATGGTGTAAATTCGATACATGTTGACTGTTATAAGGAATAAATATGATATGATATTGGTGTTGAAGGGCTGAGGGTGACGAACCTCATATATTATTTCATATGATTGTTGTTTAGATAATTTTTACTAATATGATACGAAATATTATTATACAAGTTTTGTTATGATTCATATAATTAAAATGTCACATATGATTAGTCAGAATACCAAACTTGCATAATATATATGTGATAGTAGTACATGTAAGATGATAGATTATACCCAGTTATTATTACGATTTGACATTATATTGTGATTACGTGTGGTACAGGTCAGAATACCAAACTTGCATAATATATATGTGATAATAGTACATGCAAGATGATGATTAGACACAGTTATTATTATGATTTGACATTATATTGTGATTATGTGTGTTACAATGTGATTACGTGTGGTACAGTATGCATATACGTATTTAGTGACATACAAACTTGTTTGTTTGGCATATATGAAATGATTAATATGCAATCATGCTAGATATGTATGAAAATAAAGGAATATGCATGATTAGCATAAACACATATTCACACATTTAGTGACATACAAAGTATATGCATATTTTCACACATAAACAAACTTGCTTGATTGTGTTACAGTATATATATACATATTCAGTGACATGCAAACTTGCTTGTTCATCATATATATTTTTTTATGATTACTTTCTAACTGGATCTGACTTCTTCTCATTGATCTTTGTATGCTTATCATTCATAGCTGAAAACCTGCACTTAGTTTTCTCGTATCTTTGCAACTTTTCTTCTTCATGATCTCAGTATCAAACTTCACATTATTTCTCCATATTCAATGACAAAAATTACCACTATTTATAGTCTTATGGTTTGTAGGATGGGTAAGCACTGAAACCACATTTTTACCTTTCTCTATTGATAATGGCTTGGAACTTCTAAGTTAAATATGGACTAAAACATGTAGTTTGACCTTCATTTGCTTTGTACTACAACTACTTTGTGTCTTGGTGCTACTTCAAAGAGACTGCGAAAGAAAAACAATTATGATTGGGGGAGGAAATTTTGTACAACGTGAGCTGGAGTTTCATCCCAGTGAAGTCTCTATAAATGATCCATCCAAGTTGCTAATGGAGCCTCATATCACCTCCTTAGAAATGCTAAAAATTCAAGATAATTATGTGCTAGTTTTAATTCCAATTAAAGCATAGCAATGGGTTGTGCAAGATAACTCATCCCTTTAGATGAGAAGGTGCTTGGATATCATCATAAACAACACAACAATATAAAAAATACTGAGGATAAAGTAATCAGCAATATGAAGAGATGTGATGTTTGGACATAAAATAAGCACTACTTTTTCAAAGGAAATAGATTTTGAAATGTTACAATAGTTGTCAGTGAATTGTTACTAGTTCAAAGCTTTCCATCCAATGTTATCTATCTCCAATTTTTGAGCCTGAGAGAAAAAAAAACGAGCAATTAATATAATTGTTTCTATAAATTTTGAATGAATTTTCATGACAGTTGGATATGTAAGTACATAAGAATTGAGGGGTAGCCACTTTATTACTTATATGTGTGTCTATGTACTTTGATTTGAGTTCAACTTGCTAGATAAATTTGTTGGCCTCTAACACATTACAATGTGACCAGAGTAAAAATTTTATCAAATAAATAGTTTGTGGCAGAACGAAGAAAAAGGCTTTTATATGCATCAACCTTATTACATCCTTCTCTGATGGCTTCCGCTCTAGGTATTTCTATAAAGTAAGCTACATAAAAATTAAATGGAATGCTTCAAGGATAATGCTGGCAAAAGGATATTTCATAGGGAATGATGGTGAACTTTATTTCTAAGCTATAGAAAAACTTTATGTATTTACATTTCACACAAACTTTATGTATTTACATTTCAAATAAGTAAATTTTCATGCATAGCACTCAAATATTTAATAGAAAAACTCACTAAAGCAGATAATTTGTAATTCAATTACAACCATATATGTTCATGAGAAATGCTCGTCAAATTGAATCATAGGGAATGATGGTAATTTAGATCCTGTCAAGGCTACCAAAAGGATATAAAAATTTACATGCCCAAACATAAACTTACAAAATATACATAAATCACGATTGAGCCTACCAAATAAACCATAAATAAATCATCTTCCATATTATAAGATAGCTTCACTCAGACTCGCATGACTTACATGACTCTTACAGCTATGTTCACACCAAATTTAATGCCAAAATGAATGACTCGTTCAAACCAAAGTTTTGATACAATTAAGATTAACATATCATTAATTAATTGTATCATCTGCTCATGTACAAAGCAAGGCTTATGCTTCTCAGGCTTTTGATCCTCCTTTGCTGTGGTTGCAAGTTCTCTTCTTGAGGATGTTACAAACTTTAGTTTGCATGATTCTAACGTTGCCTTTTAAGCTGAGAAGTCGAAGAAACAGCAGGGGATTGGATATGCCACCAACTTGGAATAGGATGGTAAAACACATCAGCATATATCAATTGATTCCAATAAAAATTCAACAAAGATTTAAATACATACCACTAAATTGTTCTTCTTACATATATATGCCACCTTAGCTATGCCGTCAATTTCATATGGAGGGAGATGGAGTGGGAGCAGCATGCGACGGAGTGACTGAAACGAAGGGAGGAAGGGTTAGGGTGGTTGGAATGAAATGTTAAAATTTTAGGTCTTTAGGTTGTTATTTCTTTAAGTTTTAGGTGGTGGCTAAGTAAAAACCAGTCATAGTCATGTATATAAATATTTTGGATGTAAATAGTTTTGATGTATAAAGAGAAAAATGTGATACATATTATCTTGAACATTATTTTTAAAGTATTATTGATGATTTACTGTCTTTGTATAGTATAAATTAGAAGATTAAATAAATTTCGTTCAAATTCATCTTGGTCTAAATATCTATTAAGTAGTTGACTTGATATAATCTATTTTCTTATATATGTTATATTAGGCTCGGTTGTGATAGATTAAAATGGTATTAGAGCAATAGTTTTTGGAGGAATTGATAAAATACATATCATAAGATTGATTATGAGATGGGTAGTAAGATTTTGGTAGTTTAAGAATCTTTTTTTTTTTATTTTTTTATGCATACATATGCATCATTTGAGTAATTATATATGATTATTCAGATTTGAGAGTATTATGGTTGAGATCTTATAGATTCCCTAGAACTAGAAATGATTAATGAACATAATTCTAGTCAATCATTACCTATGCAGACAACCATGAGGGCTAAGATGTTAGAATCTATGTTACAATTTGTTAGTTGAGATGGACAGAACAAGATGTTTACTAGTAAGGCAAATGAATGTGAGAAATATTTACAAATATTTCATAGATTGAAGCCTCCACATTTAAAGGGTGCGGTAGAGCTCCATATAGTAGAAAATTGGTTACTAAGGATATCAAATATCTTTGATAACATATAATGTTCAAATAATCACAAGATACCATTGACTGTATTTTTATTTGAAGGAAAAACAAATTATTAGTAGTTAGACCAGTAAAGGAAGTTGTTTCAAGGTAAGTTGAATTTACTGATAACTTGGTAGGAATTTGTACCTACTTTCAAAGAGTGGTTTGTGCCTCCATTCGCTAGACAACAAATGTAAGAGGCTTTCATGAGGTTAGCGAGGAGAGTAATACTATTATGTAATATGAGGATGATTTTAATACTATGGCCAGATATGCATCACAGTTAGTTAGTCCTATTGAGGAGAAATATTATCACCTTTTGAGAGGACTCATAGAAGATTAAGACATCCACTGGTTTTACTGAGGATTCAAGATTTTTTAGAGTTAGTGGAAAGAGCAAAATTAACAGAAAATGATTTGTCGGTATCTCAGTAGAGATGTGATATGAGTAGAAAGAGATGTGATGGAGAAATGTTCGAAAACAATTTTAATGGAAATAAAAGTAGGTTTGGACCAGATGAGTCAAAGAAGGGTTCTACAACACAAGTCAATAATATATCAGCATGTGCTACTTGTGAGAGAAAGCATTTAAGAATGTGTTACCTACTGGATGTTTTGGGTATTAGATGGTTGATTGCCCTCGTAGACTTGAGGAAATGTCATAGTTTAGATCTAATTATTCAAGTTAAGCAGGAAGTAGAGCAAGAGGTGGAACTATAACTATAAAGCCTGGTTAGAATGAGAGAGACTAGAATACTTCAGAGATATTTACTCGAGTGCATGTTACTCTTTATAATTTGACTAAGCAAGAAGTAAAGAGTACATCTAATGTGGCGGCAAGTAGAATTTTTATTTCCATCAATATTACAATATTTTCTCTTATTTTGGTGCAAGTCATTCATTTATAGCCAAGAAATTTTATATTTGTTTAGACTTATTTTATATTGCTTATAAAAATGAGTTTGCCAATTATGATACCTACTAGATATTCCATGACAACTAGATATGCCGACATGTAATTGAGTACTTATTTAATCAGTTATAGGCCATATGAATAATATCTAAGATTGGCTTAAGATCAGGATATCATTAATTAAAGGTATAGTAAAAGAACATAGCTAAGTTAGTATTCAGTACAAATTATAGTCATTATGAGTTTTTAGCATGCCCTTTAGAGTGATTAATGCACCTTCAATCTTCATGGAGTTGATGATTTAAGAGCTTAATTCATACTTAAATCAACTTGAGATTGTGTTTATCAATGATGCATTATTGTATTTAAAGAATGAAGTAAAATGCAACCTAACCTCTCTTATCAAGAAATACTTGATTATATATTAGCATTTCATGTCAAGCAATTGAGAAATAAATATATTCTAATGGTGTAAGTTCAATAAAAACATATATCAGAAAAAAAAAAAAAAACTACTTCGGAGAAAGTGCTTAAGATGAGACAACTATACCCATAATTCTTCTCTGGCTAAGTACAAGCAATGAAATGTTGAGAAAGATTGTAATTGCAACTATACCCATAATTCTTCTCTGGCTAAGTACAAACAATGAAATGTTGAGAAAGATATTTCATTTTTTTTTAAGAAAGATTGTAATTTTCAGGCCTTATACATATGAGAATCAATCATAATGCTTAACTGTATATTTTATTAGTCGATGTTTTAATATGTCTATTAAGATGTATTTTTATATTATATTGGCATTTAATTTCTTTTTGAAATAATTGGTAAAAAATAATAAATAAATAATCTACAAATATATAGAATGATGATTTAATCTACAAGCTTTGAATAATTGTTACGGGACCATCATTCTCCTGATTAACCAATCGTATTTACAAAATTATAAAAAATGATGACTTTAAATACTATAATTTTTTCAAATTTTTATGCTAAATATTAATATGAAAATAAAAAATTAATGGTGCAATTGTAATTCACTAAAAAATATAAATGTGTAGGCAGAAATTCATTTTTAAAGTTGTTTGACAATTATTTTGTAAATTGCTTTCACTAGAGTGTCCTATACATGATCAATTATTTTATGACTTTTTATTCACAATTTTGGGAGTTCTAGATTGCAAGATATAAAAGATTTATTAAGCTTTATAAATTAAACCAAATATTTAGCATAATTACAAATAAATCATTGGCACACTTTTTTATTTAAACCCCACTAATTCACTTTGTCTAGAATCTTCTCCATGGACTTTTCATTTGGTTAGACCATGGAGGAGAAGGGAAACTAAGGTAAAAAGAGAGGAGAGAAGAGAGATAGAAGAGAGAGATTTTTGAGACATATGGCCCAATTTTTGTTCAATGAGCTAGTTGGGAAAGTTAACCGACTCAAGGTAGATTATCACTACAAGTAGGTTTAATGTGTAATTTTATAGTTTGGTTAGTAAATATAATTTGATCATATTGTTGCATATTGTGGATTTCAATGTCCTTTTACATGCGAACTTTATATATATATATACATATATCCACACACACACACACACACACACACACACACACACACACACACACACACACACACACATATATATATATATAGTGATATATATTGAGTAAAATATAGTTTAAATATGATACCATATCATGAATTGTTTGTATGCAAGAAAAGCTAGCTATTATGATTGAGGTTAAAAGAGATATGATACTCCGTGTAGGAAGTTGGGTCGACAGATTTTTCTTTAAATGAGTTAGTAATATAAACTCGATACAAACTGAGACTTATAAGGATAAATATGATATGATATGAGTGTCAACGGGATGACCGGGAGTGACGACTCCCATACACTATTAATGATGCATAACTAATTGTTCTAATAGTCTTTTATTGGTATGATATGAAATGATATTGTATATGTTTTCTTACCATTTATGCAAGAAAAACAAACATATGATTAACTAGAGCACCTTCTTTATATATTATATATGTGATGATAATTGTGATTGATGACATGAACTATATACACTACTATTATTGTGATTTAACGTTATATTATAGTTATATGTGTTAGTTCATACATATGTATGTTTGGTGACCTACAAATTTACCTATTTAACATTTATGAGATGATTATGATGCAATTATCTATATTATTTTATTTTCGTGCATAAGATATAGCTGTAGTTTTCGTGTGACAATAGGCCAAAGCAGAAAATAGCTCGATCGGATGAGAGTGTGAATTGTTAAAACATTGAATCATGGCTGGATTGGACAAATTTTAGAGTCAAGTTATTATAATTAGATTTTAATCAAAATGTGTCATAAAGTTATTGGAATTTTTTTTAAATAATAATATAATATGATAGATCAACTAATATTTATATACACTGCACTTATTTTAAAAAAGAATAATTGAATATCAAATGTCTCAATGCCACTTTTATAATGTCAGTTACTCGCTCTTAAAAAATAATTAGCCGCTGTCGATCCAAACGACACAAAATCGCATCAGCCTGTCGTGACGCCCCTCAGCTGCTGCTCCAAACGCGCCCTTAATCAAAATTTAACAAAAAAGACAACAAGAATCAAGGTTAGGATCAAAATCTGCCACACACTATGTATGTGATTGCTTGGCGTAATAAAATGGGATTTTCTTATTTGTATACTTCGCATTAATTACTGGGTTCAGAAATGAAAATAAGAATTTGAATAATATATAACTTTGTTCTAATCAGTGTTGCTTCAATATATTTCGCACATCAGGCTTCTGAGCTGAGCATGCATTGAGCGCTGATGGTCGATCATAGCATAGCAGCCATATCTCCTGCTTTAGTGATTTGAAATCGATCGAGTACTTCGCTTGTATTTGAGTTTATAAACTGAATTTATAAGAACAAGAGAAAAGACATTAGATCAGATCTTTAAATATAAGGGTATGACATGCGTAATATGAAAGAATTCAAATTACATAATTGGAAAATATGCATACTTAACAATAAAATTTTTATGTATTTACATGTTAACATCTATAATTTCACGATTACAAGTTGAATTCAAAACTGTCTGGGTGACACGTATAAGAAATAGAACGCGAAAGAGAAGATAAGAGTAGAGAGCTTGGTAATGAACACAAAATCGTGTAACCTTTTATTCATAAAACGAGTCACTATTAATAGTAATGAGGGGTGTATGATTACATTATATATCCTTGGAAAAATAGGTATAGGTGGGGCATTTTGGTTAATACATAATTATGAGGCCGGGAGCATGAAATGGAGCACAGTCAGATGGGGTCGGGAGCATGGGATGGCACAGGACCGGATTTGGACCGGTCGGCCATGTGTCGGGAGCTAGAGGGAATGATTGGCTTGGGCATTTCTCGGGCGGCTATGGATGAAAGGTGGATTGGGTGGTCCCGACACACCGTTTTAGATCCGGGTGATTTTCAACGTTAGCCCGACTTGGTTGAGGTATGCTCGAGGATTATGGAGGGTTCATGCGCGTGAGTTTCATCTCAATAGACTTTAGGAGGATAGCTAAATTATGTACGTCTTGAGACTATTTTTCTCGTAGGCCACAGGAGCCAGCGAGACAAATATTGGCCCTTTGAATTATCCCTAGTGGGTCAAGGACTGCCACATCATCCTCTCTGTGGGTCGTCAGATCTCTTTAAGATTCGTGTTGACATAATTTTTATGTACATATTTGAACTCCTTGATTCACTTGCTTCTTGATAATGACGGTTGTGATAAGGACAAAAAAATTTTAATTTTTAAAAAGTTATTGATATTCATGATTATTAACTTAGTAATAATTGAACACTGTGGGAGAATTGAAGAATAAACATTTGTTTTTTTAATCTTTTCGAGTGGTTTTTCTCTTCGTATCCATTATCAGTGATCATGGAGAGCAGTCCCCCTCCAAGTCAGTTAACTTCTGTGAAGATGCTCGGAAGATGGTTGTTCAAGTATTGAAGCAGCAGGCGAAAGCTTCTTTCAAAAGCACACGTCTTGAATGACGTTCTGTGGTTGAGGTGAGATTTCCTGAGCTAGGGGACGAGGTATGGTCATTTGATTCACTTTCCGATTGCCCTACACGGAGGTCCCAAGTGAGGAGGGCGGCTTCCTAGTGAAGAAACGTCGGACGACGGGCACAAGCCGTCTAGAGGGTAGGACGGCGCAACCGTTAAGTTTGGCCCAAAATCCTTCTATGTTGGCGGAAGAGCAGAGGCAAGATCTTGCAGCTATGATGATGTTGCCGGTGGAATTGAGGGTGACCATTCAGGAGGCATCCCATGATCCTCTGCCTGTGAATGCTGCTAGAGATGTCGCCCTTCCCTCATCTGTGGAACTGGAAACTGTGGAGGAAGTTTTCCCCCTTACTACCTCGAATTCACATAAGATGATGAGCTCGTTATCTGGTGTGGGAACTAACACCCCACCTCCCATAGAACGTGGTGTTGTCGGGATTGTTGTGGATTTGGGATCCATTGACGGTTTTAGACGTTCGGAAGGACTACGATCGGACTCTGCGGCTTGCCCAATATTTGATTTGGCTAAGGCAGCCGACACGTCGAAGAAGCACGACTCGGCTGGCCTACAAATTCGTGGGGTGGAAACACCACTGAACCAGGAAGCTCACTGCGCTCATCCTCAGAAAGCGCGGCCGGAAAAACTGGAGGAAGAACTTTCTATTATGTGCCATCGGGAATCTAGCCTTTAAGATGAAGGGACTCTATAATCTATGCTATTGACATTCTCAAGGGAGTGATTTGGGGTCCTTTGAACTCATCGAAGGTTGTTCATAATGTTAGGATAGACTCTCATAATACTAAGTCGGTCAGTGGTTCGGTTGCTTATCTGTAGTTGGACCTCTGTTGTCTCCAGAGGGTCGGCTGTCTTCGTACCTCGGTTGAACCTCGGTTGAACGGGCAGTCTGAAATCCTCCCTCGGTTTCCACCCTCTTCTTGGTAGGGCTCTCTTCTGGACCCGACGATCTTGTTGTCTCCGATTGGGGGATGCCCTCCTCAACGATGATGTACTTGTTAGTCATTTCTAGCAATTCGAACAAACCCTAGGGTTCGTGCAAACTTAAGCTGTAACAAAACCAGGCACTGCTTCAGGGCGGCCTATGCCATGTCAGTTTGGTGGTCCTTCATGAATAAATGTATAGAGGGGGCGTTTAGGTCAATATATAATTATAGGGTCGAGAGCCTGAAATGTCACCCGACCTGATGGAGTCAGGAGATTGGGATGGCACCCGATCGGATTTTGGGACTGGTGGCCACGTGTCGGGAGCTAGAGGGAATGACCGATTAGGTCATTTTCTGGGCGGCTATTGTTGAAAGGTAGTCTGGGAGGCCTCGCCTATTTGGTTTAGATCCGGGTGGTTTCAGTGTTCACCCCACTTGGTTGAGGTATGTAGGTGGATTCGTTCACGAGAGTTTCATGCCAATAGATTTTGTAGGATGGTTGAATTCTTTGTCTTAAGTCTATATTTCTCGCGGCCCGCAGAAGCTGTCGGAAAAATATGGGCCCTTGAACTACTCGTGGTGGGCCCAGGATTGCCACATCATCTTCTCTATCGGTCATCAGATCTTTTTAAGATTCGTGCTGACACATTTTTTTATGTATATTACATTTATAATTCTTTGAAGTCAAAAACTCATAAATGAAGAGGTGTATTTCACTTTTTAACAGTAAACTAGTATGCTATTATTGATATGATTTTAGTAATTTGATTGTTACAATCCTGGCAAGTAAAGATGAATAGAAAAGATTATTAATGCAGAGCATGATTAATGGTAGCCTATACGAACCTCAACACTTAGTTTATATGTCGTGGCATGTACTCTCACATAACCAAATTCAGAAATTCTAATTAAACTCCATTCAGCAGCCTGCATTCAAATTTAAAATAAAAGTAACTTAAAAACCTTTTTGACAAATTTTTGAAGCCAAATTGTCTAGTTTATAATGCAAGTTTCTCACAAAATATGCTTGAAGCAAACCAAATGGGCTGTTTGAAGCAAAATTAAAATCCAAAAAGCAGAATTAACTCAGCTTTTATTAAAACTGAACAAAACTGATCCAAACCAAAATAAAATTTTATTGGATTTTATCGTTTCTGTTTGAAGCAAACCAAAACCATCCCCTTAAGATTAAAAATTTCAAGCTAAATTAAAATAAAATTGAGGTAAGTTCAATTAAGATAAAAATCAGTATAAATTTTGACAGCAGAACTTTAAATTTTAGTTGGAGAGAAAGGGGCTTACTTCATCAGAGAAGTCATCCAAGGTAAAACCTCCCATTCCTATGGTTGCATGAATTGGAGCAGTGTAGTTGGTGTTATCATAGGTATCAATGCCATTAACCTTTGTTGGTAATCCTTTGCATGTCTTTTGATATACTGAACATGTTCTCTCATAGTTATGAACATGACCGAAGAATACCAAATCTACCTGATTATCAACAAATAGATAATTTTTTAGTGCATTAAAGATATACATTAAAACTCAGAAAATTCATATACAAAAGATTGGGTGAAGATAAACACTGGACAAGTAATTTTAAGGCCTAATTTTTTTTTTTTTTTTGATGATTTGCATGCATAGGCCCTCCCTTTTCAAACCTACATATACCTCGTACAACAGCTATCTATATGCATTAAGGCTTTTAATTTTCTCTGTTAGTATTTTCTTTCCCCCTAGTTTTCATATTACAGCTAAAAGTTATTTGTTTACATGGTATCAAAACCTTAGCTTCACTGCATTGTACTAAGAAATACTTCTTCTCCTAATGGCCGACTATGCTACTTCTTCCTCTCTAAATAACAAACTTGCTTCTCTTAAGAATCAGGAGCCCTTCAATTCTCTAAAATTCCTTATATACAATATCAAATTGGCAACCGACATCTTCCTCTCTAGTGACAACCATCCTCTAAGGCAATCTATAATTCTCAAAATAATCAAGGCTAATGGATTCAAGGGCTTTATTGATGGATCCACTCCTCAGCCAGCAAGAATTACAGCAGTTGTAACTAGTGTCACTACCCAAAATCCAATATCCACTATCATTTCTTATGTTATGAATCTCAAAACCTATTCATAAATTTGGGCAACATTTAAAACAAGATTAGAAGCCGTGAATCAATATAAGGTAATCCAACATAAAAATTAACTACGCAATTTATCAATAAAGAATCAAATAATGATCTAATATCTTACTCAAATCAAGACTTTAACGGACAATATTTTAGCTATTGATTCTTCAATGGCACTAAAGATATCACTGTTTATATTTTCCAAGGATTACTTTAACCTTATCAAGCATTCAAAATAGCCATAAAAATCACACTTTACACAATCAAATTAGAAGACCAATATTTTATATAATGAAAAATTAACTTTTCAAATGAACAACTGCAAGAACCAACTCCACTTAATCTTTAAGCAGCTCTCTACTCACATTATAATAGATCATATTCTAACAAAGGATGAGAACCCATCCAAACAATACCTCTATGGACCTTAATAGCCTCAACAACCCAAAATACAAACCCAATTTTCTGTCAGATCTGTAATAAACAATGCCGCATTATTATTTAAGGTTGGCACAAGATCAATTGGAATTACCAACCACACAAACCACCAAGTACCAAAAATTCATTCAATACAACTATTCTTACTTCCTCAACCCACCCCAACACCCAGCATTTGGACATAGAAGCATCCAACCATTTTACTACTCACCTTTATGATCTACAAGAATTTGAACCTTATAAAGGAACATATCAAGTCTTGTTGGTAATGGCAAAAAAATTAATTCAATATAGCTCTTGTCACTTCCTTAACCCACCCTAGTGTCTGGTAATTTGGATATAGGAACATCCAACCATTTTAACACTGACCTTTATAATATGCAACAATTTGAATCTTAACAAGGAACATATGAAGACTTTGTTGGTAATGCCAACTATGAACCTATACAACACTATAGCCAAGGAATATTTTTCAACTTAACTCAAGAGCACTATCTATCCAATCTACTTCATGACCAATCTTGCTCTAATTCATAGCTTGCGTCCGAGAATAATTTTTTTGTTATGTTTTCGTTCTCTGGCTATATAATTAAGGATCAAAATATACACTAAGCACTTCTTTATGGAGCTTGTTGTGAGGCCTCTATCCCAAATCCTCCACGAACCATGGCACATTAGAATAGACAATCTACATTCATGAATCCAAGGGTTTGTTTGATGTTGTGTTTCCACATCTTGTTTGCTCTCAAAAAGTCCCTCTATGGCCTCAAACAAGCTTCTGGACATTCAATTCAGTTTTTAAAGAAGTGATGCAGATCCTTCCCGGCTTACATACAAGAACAAGTCCAGTTGTCTTTATCTTCAATTATATGCTGTATATTTTGTTGAGGAGTAACAATATTAAGGTCATGCATCAACTACTCACTGATCTACAAAAAAAAAATTTCATGAATCTTTTGGTATCTGCTTCCACATTTTTTAGCTTTCACATCCAGTAGACCACTTATTGCCTCCTCCTCTGTCTAACTTCAAATGTCTCCATCATTGTTACCAAAGCGGGTATGGTTGATTGTAAACCTCTCTCCAATCCACTATGCCTCACCCCTATTACCTCCCAAGAATCCAAATAATACTTTGTAGATCCCAAATTATTCTGACACCTAGTTGGTTCTCTTTACTATCATACCATAACCAAGCTCTATATTGCATTTAATGTCAACTATCTATCTTAATACCTCCACAATCCCCTCTATCTGCATTTCTGATAACTTAAATGCCTTCTTTGATACATTAAAAGGGGTATCAATCTTGATCTTCCACTAAGACCCAAACCTCTTACATTACTTATCTATTTTAACGCCAAGTGGGCAAGAGACTCATTTGATTGATGCTCTATCACCAGCTTCTTTTTATACCTTAGCATCAATCTTGTCACTTGACAGATCTAAAAGTGACCCACAGTAGCATATTCCTCAACCGAGGTAGAATATTAAGATTTATCCTATGTTGCCACAAAATTTATTTGTCTCCTAAGACTTAAAAGATTTCAGAAATCCCCTTACTAAAACCAATAATCATGCATTGCAATAATACTTCTGCCATGGATAATGTTTGCAATCCTATTTCTCATGTACTCAAGACAAAGCCAATTGATATCTTCACCAAATTACAATCTGGAGTTAGATGCTTAAGTAATGTGATAGTTATAAAAAAAATGCAAAAGAACATGACATTCACAAAAAAAATTTATTTAATCTTCCCTAAGTTATGAATAAAGTAACTAATTATACTGCATATAAATTGCATATTTAATTATTTATTAAAAAAAAGATGCTACTTTCATGTTTATTGAATACCTTATTTTTCATTAAAACCGGCTCGATTGACTCAACAAAACCAGAATCTACGCTCGGCAATATGGAGCTATAAGAGGAATACATCGGTCTATGCCTGCAAATGGAAGCTATTCAAGTAAATATAAGAAAATGTAAAGTTCACAAAAATATAAATATTTTGTCTGTATTTTTTTTTTGGCAATTAAGATCATCACTTAGATTAGCTTTAGTAGAAGCTTCTTTACAATGACTTTGAACTAGTACTTTTCTGAAATGAAAAGAATAATATAAACTATTAAAAAAATGAACATAAAAAATTTACATACATATCACACAACTTTTTTCTATTTACATATCTAATACCTAAACATTCACTCATCTTTATCATCGCATCAAAAATACCACCATCATATCGTTTCAAAGGTGAAATATCAAACATATGTCAGATATGTAAATGCAGAAGAATAGTGTGGTATGTGTGTAAATTTCATACATGAAAGTAATAATCATGAGCTTGTTCAGGACAATATACCCCAAGAGAATTGACCAAGGTGTTATTCTTCTATCAACTGATGCCAAGTCCTCATAGATCCAGTTATACTGTCAAGATTATTACATGATTGCAAAAATTTCAGAATTATTTGATTATGTCATAAACAACTTAATTATAAATATTTACATATATATTAAGAAGATTACTTGTTCGGAATTAATTTTCCATTCATGCTCAGTAGAGATCACTGTGAAGTGAACGGTTGCTTGTTCAAGAGAATACCAAGGCTTATCTTTCCCCACTGAAGGCATTGGAAAATATGTCTCATATGCAACTCCACATTCACCTCCAGAATCTGGTGTAATGTACACTGATCCGGATCCTTCATAATCTCTTCAAAAGTATTAAAAATAAGTTATTAATTTAAGTATAATTAATACTTTTTTGAATATTTATGAGACTTGTATGTCAAATAAATTTGATTGATTTATAGTCATGAATTATATAAGAAGTTCAGATAAATATATATATATATTATGTTTTAACCATAATTTCATTAAAAATTATGACTAACATAAACATTTCAGTCGTAATTTGAAGTCAGAATTGCAGTTATTTTTGAAGAATTGTATCCAACATTTGTGATTTTATATTTTTTACTGAAATATTTGTAAATAAGTTGAAATAAAACTTTCAGTCATGATTTAAAAATTTACAATTAAATATTTTAATTTTGTTGCTCAGCTTAGTTTTGATTTTATATATGTATAGATAAAGGATTAATGTGTTTCGTACCCCGGCCTGTTGGTTGGCATCCACGGTATAAGATCCCTCAGGTCGGGGGTTTGAATCCCCTCTAGCACAGTCAGCCTTAAGGAGGTGGTACTCAATTTGTTAGGCACATTAGGGTTGGTTGGAGGCTCGTATAATAGCCTCTGGCCATTCA